TTTTCGTAAAAAAGGAACACCCTCACGATAAGTTGTAAGATCATTTTGTCTTTAGAATCAGACTTTTTCTGCCTTGGTAACAATCTATTGCAGATTGAACAACAGATTGTTGAAAGTTTAATCGATAATGCTAAAGAGAAAAAAAAGAGTAGAAAGAAGAAGAAATACACGGTAGGAGGTAATTACGTTAATGAGAGGAGAGCGAAATGACTCCGTTTAATCTCCACGAGATAACGCGAGTCATTGTTTTCAATGTATTGCAAGTGCAGAAACTGAGAGCTTCCCGCGCAAAATTGTAATATCGTATTTTTTTTCTCTAACTTCGGCGTCTTGCCGCGTTATCTGGCTAGAGTGCAACTTTTAATTTACATACATTCGAGTTGCCAAGAAAATGTAATTCATTTCCCATCCTGACGTTTCGATTCGACGAGATTGCCATTTTTTGCGGTTTCGCAGCGATTTAGGCGCAATATTCGCATTACGGTGCAACTAGAGTTGAAAAATCAAAACCATTATTTTAAAATTTTAAACAATATGCATTTAATAATAATTATATATTTATATTAATAATTATAATTTTCTGTATAATATTTTTTTACAAGATTTACAAATTCAGGACGAACTGGAAGAATAGAAGAGTAGCGAGAAGAAATGGTTTTACCTAACGACATTTATACCTCACGTTAGGAATTCAGTCATTGCAATTTTCTAAGATATTGATAATAAAAAACAGATCAAGTTATAAAAATATCACTAATATTTCATGATTGTCTAAAACGTATTTAATTGTTTCGTCGCGACCATCTTCTACGTAGAAATCTTCACTAACTTAGTGTAACAAAATATATGCCCGCAGCTACATTAATTTCTTTTAACTCACGTGCAAACCTATTAACAAGATTAACAAGAACACAGCGTTGAAAAGAAAAAGAAACTTACAAGTGCAAACGAGCGTATCTCGTCGACGTTCGTGAAGTCGTCAGGGGGGATTTCCTACCCGAAACAGGAGTGATTAATAACAGCGATTTGGCACACGTGTTATACTGCTCGCAATTTGTGTTAGCTTGGCACAAAATTGAGCCGCTCGGCGACGAGTTTTCACAATCGATTTTTGGCACCTAAATCGCGTAATCAAGTGGTGACCCTTTTGGCTCTATGGTCGACAGTCCTTATTATGTCGACTACGTGCGCTCGATTTTTAATTCATCTTAATTTATTCAGGGAAAAATCGCGATATCAGGACCGCGTAGACGACAGACCATTGTCTGAAATCGAAGCATCAATTAGCTTCGCGTACGAAGATTTTCTGATTACACCGTGGAACGCTGATTATCATGAATAGCAATCGCATATTCTAATTTTACTTTCAAACAGCGAATAGCAATTGACTGTTTAGAAATTCATAAATCGTTAGGAATCATTTATGGTGTTGCTGCTTTTAGAATAAAATATTATTTCATGAATACAGCAAAATGCTGCAATCACAGCGTCGCTTGTTCCGTATTTTCGTCGTATATTTTTGTATGTTTTATTTTATGCCACGTGCTATGCTAACATAGTCGTTTTCGCCCTCGAGATTCTTTCCCGCTGTGTCACACGTAGCTGGTAACAGTACAATTTCGAAAAGCTGCAGCATATTTTAACATTACAGCAGTTGATCAGAATAATCTGTCTGTCGTCTGACTCGTCCTCTAATCGCGCGACAATGCGGCGTCAAGTGGTCACAAACAATCGCCCCATTTTTCCTTTCGCGAGGAAGGAAGGGGCTTTGCCCTTTAAAATTCCACGCCCCGCCGAAGGAAGGGCGCGATTCAATATTCTATAAAAACTAAGTTTATTTCTTAGCTGATTGCCTTGCGTTACGGTAATGTTAGGTCCCTGACGAGAATTGCCGCGGACGTTCCGTCCTTGAAGCACCGCAGAAATGGCTTTCCGAACATCAAGAGATAGATACGCGACGCTTTCTCTCCCGAGTTATCGACGGCTCTTCGTAACTCATTTCCGTAGACACGAGCCGTTTGTTCCGAAAACCGACGCGCAAGACGTACCTTGAAAATCTTGTAAAGGCAGATACCTTCCACCGATTTGTACTTGTATCTGACTCGAGCTCGATATCTTACAATAATCCGGCTTATAATCTTCGGCGAAACACACGGCCCGTACGCGCACGCGCAATCGCGCGACAATCCTCGGTGGGACCCACGCAATAAGGATAAGGCCCCTGCACTAACAGATTGCTCTACGCCACAACGATATGATCGCGATGGATGCTGACATTTGCTCTTCTCTCTTAAGCCCGCTTTACTTTTTTTTCCCCGTTCTTCCTTAACACCACTGTGTCCGAAGGGTGAGTCGGGTTCCCCGTGCCCGCTCTCTGCGATTAGCGTTTTGCCGCTGATCTTTTTTTTTTTTCTTCACTAGCTCGTGTATGCACCTTAACGTAATGAGGGGAAAGGAGCGTACGTACCCGGGACTTTTCAACGATCGCGCTACTTTCTTTCTTCTTTCCTTCCTTCCTTCCGCTCACCACGATTCCGATTCCGCGCGAAAATAACCGCGTCCTCGTTGAAATATATTGGTCAGCGTCAGTTGCTCCGGAGTTAGGTCTAACCGTTGTACAAACGCAAAGCTTTCTTACATGTAAATGACTTTTAGCCAACAGCACAGATAGCTCTGACTAAACTAACATTTTAGATATTTTAGATATTTCTCGTTTCTGCCGAGAACACATCCCTATCTATAATACAGAAAGCATTATATCGTTAACTGCGGTTAGTGCTAACTATCGTTGGTGCAACAGATCTTAGGGGGAAGGGGGAGGGGGGAATATAATTTAACGTGTCCTAATCCTCGTTGATCGCTCTTAGAGATTACTCCTCCGTAGATACCTGTTTTTGTCTCTCCGATATTTTTTTTTTCGCGAACACGCGATAGACGATATCTTAACAATCACTAGAAGCTACAGAGAGTCGATTGAATCGAAGTGCCTATATAAAGGTGCTCCGAAATGTACACGTAATCGATTTCTGAATGATGGATCACGCCGGATAAATACAGGCTAGCTTATTCGGAGCAAAAGAGATATTAATTATTCGTAGCCTAGTCATATGTGTCATTGGATATGCTTCTGGAATATGTCAGTGCGACAAAGGGACATCTTCAGATGGTAGGTGAATTTGGAAGCGGTAACGAGAAAACCATCAGCTACAACAGAATCGCCTTAACCGGCCGCTCACTTGCAAATGGAATAGCAGATGGAAGCTTCAAGTACCCGATCTTATTACTTTCCGATCCCGACAAGTACTTCACTTCCAAACTCTGTAGAAGCTTTTTTTTTACAAGGGATTGTAATAACTCTCGATAAATGTTCACAAGCCCATAATTACTCTGTACACATCAAACAAAATTAAATCTTTGCAAAATAAGGCAAAGTAAATCCCAGTATTAAAATTTTAACACAGTAGCGAATAAACAGTTTGAAATCTTTACAAAATTATTTCTAGGCTCTTCTCGTCTGCGCTGCTACTGTTCCTTGGCTCCCAAACGAGAGGGACATCTTTCAATTAAGCATCCTCGAGTCGCGCCGTCCTTTAATTACTTATAATAATGCCAAGTGAGCCAGTTTGAAGAGCGAATGGGATTTTCAATTAAGATAACGCTCTCGCGGATCGATTTCAGTCTTTCCTGGTAACTTTCCTAATAAGCAGAAAATTAGTTATTTCCGACTTTACATAATTCTCTGGAACAATTTTCCGTTTCATCGGATCCCTAAAGTTCCGAAGAATTTTCAACTTTTATCTCATTCAATCTTTAATCCCATTTACTCGTCATTATCGCGTAGAGAGCTTCTCATAATTATTATATTATAATTATTATAATTAACAAATTATCACACGCGTCCGTATTCAAAACTGCTTGATTTTTATGTCCATGTCGTATACGTTCCTTACGAGGAATATCACTACGTACTTATTGCTCTTGACGCTTAGCCTGCACCATAGTAAACTATTAGAATCATTTTTTATAAACGCTATCTTACGATGCTCACGAAAATGTAAAACTTTTCAGAAACTATCGTTGAAATTTAGAAGACCACGTGTATGAAGAACAATGATAAAAGACAACAAGACAGTTTGAATTCCAACTCTTTCTCTTCTTGTAAGCACGCGTTTTGGATACAAACGTCACGCGCAACGGCGTCTTTTTTTTTTAACACAAAACGTAATCTTCCATTACTATTTCCGCGAAGCGAGATTGATAATAAAAATTAGAATGTCTCCGTCTTATCACTTTGAATTGTACGTTCGTTAAGAGTAGGTCGTCGTGGTCCGTAGCGATATAAGTTTCGAAATTATCGTTAAAGGGGAAAGTATACGTCATGTATACTTCGTGAAGATGCATTCGAAGCCTATGGAGGGTAGCCTAAGCGTGTAGCTGGTGGTCACCATTTTACTGCCGTGTTCTTTTGTGCGCGGATAAGAGAAACGTGGTTCTTCCGCACTCGACGCACTTGGAAAGGTCATCGAAGTTTCTTCGCCTCTCGTCCACTTCGATCCTCGCTTTTGCAACGATATTTCTGTGCAAATTCTGCATTCCTGACCCTTCCAGTACCCGCCAAGTGGCGTCAGCTTTTAGCATCGACACTCCGCGTACATGGATATTAAATAATATCTTTAACCTACATAGAGTAATACACGTTTACAAATATAAAATATTCCCCCGAGGGTTCTAAAAGTGGATAAAATGGAATAAAAAAGATAGATCGAATTTTTACATCTGATTCCGGTACTGAAAGGATTTAGTCAAGAGACACAGAGTTCGAGTGGGAAGAGATCATGGATTTATCTTAAAACGTAAACGCGCGCAGCAATCGTCTTTTCGCCTTTTTCCGTTTAACGGCCCGTTTTCCTTTCTCTTTAATCTGATTTTAATATCAGAGAATGATTTGAGGATTTTCCACGCTCCTAGCGATTGGATACGAATAATACCTCTGTCGAGAGGGTTTATACGCACGCGCGCACGTACATACTTCAGTCGCCTATAAAGTGGATCCTAAAAATCTCCCCTATCCTCTTGTCGCGTCTCTCTCTCTCTCTCTCTCTCTCTCTTTCTCCTCTCTGTCTCTTTCGCACTCGTAAACGATCATATGTACACTCACATACACTCTTTCTTCCTTTTCCCATCTCTTTCTCTATCATATATTAATAAGTACTCCTTCTCTTTTACTTTCTCTCTCTCTCTCTCTCCCTCTCTCTCTCTCCGCGAAGTGCCTTAAAAATTGATCCTTAACTACTTACTAATATAATCGATTCTAATCACAGCAATTATTTATTGTTGATATACACAATCATACAGCGTCTCTCACTAATTGTTATTTTCATCTTTTTTTTATCGACTTTTTAGCAGAGACTACTTGTTGCTCGATGCCGTTGCTCGTCTCATGTTTTGCCGTTTTTTTTTCTCTTATATAATTACTACTGTACGCCATCATTGTCTACCTATCGGTGGAGAATGGGGGAGCAAGGGCGTTAGCGAGGGTGAAGAGGAGGAGATGTTGAGAGGAGTGCCTTGTTGCCGCGATGAGAAAAGAGAGAAATACTTTTTCTTTGTTCTTTTTTTTTCTTCTTCGAAGTGTATAATAACAAAAATAATTTTCCACAAATGTCATGTATATAAATAATTATAAATAACAGGATTAAATTTTTCAAACATAATTTAATGAGTCATCAACGGACTCTCGCGATCGATCGTACCAATCACAATCTAAAGTTTGTCCAGCAAATTAAAAAAAACGCATTGAATCCATTCGGACTCTTTTTTTTCTTGCGAGATGTATACAGATTGTGTCGTAAAATATGGTTGAATAACTACGTCTCTTGACGTCAACTTAATGAAATATTGATTTTGGGGCTTTGACTAGTCTTTTCAGAATCTTCAGCAGTTGAAAGATTTTGACAAAAGAACTTTCTAGTTAAAAAAAAAGTTTTAAAATACCCATTTAACGTATGGATTAGATGGTTGGCGAGAGATACGTTACCAAGATTAAAATTAACTCCAAACTCGTTAAATTATTTATGAATCCCACATTGAACGACACAACTGAATTTTACGCAATTTTTCGTGTTTTCCACGGAGGAGCCGTTAGCAACTTATTCATTCGGCAAACGAAATGGTGAGGCGCGTGTTGCGATCAAAATGAAAAGATACGTTGATGTAATAAATAAGGTGAAATCGCAGATGTCGATGCGAGATGTTGATATACATTCCCGACTAAAAAGCCATCGTATAAACAAGATGCTCCGAGATTAATAAAAATATGTACAACGTGAAAACATATTTACAATGCGCATCGAAAAGAAGCGAGCACCGCAAAATATTTTCAATAAAAACAAGACGAGACAAAAAATATATATATCACAAAACTGACCCACAATGTCGTTCAGTTATATACACAAACATAAAATTGGAGTCAATACAACTATCAATGTTACCCTTTTTTCTTTTGGAAGGATTAATTTACATATTAAAATTAAGAGCACGTTCATACAACGTGGGTAGGATGTATAAAAGTGATACGTACGCGCGAAGACCACCGATTATTAATTGAGCTGACACCGGAAGCACAGACGTAACATTTTCTAGCAAATGTTTTTTTTTTCCTTTTTTCCCCCCAAATTTTAATTTACGTTTGGCACATAATGGAAGTTATCGGTGCAGGATACAAGTCGCAAGGTGTAAATCGTCCGCGCCACAGCCAATTACATTGGCGTTAACGTGATATTACAACGAAATTCAAAAACTAGTTACATATAGCTATTATATATTTCAGCAATTCTAAAGCCCCGTTTTTAATAATAATAATAATAATTCCTTTAATTTAACTCGTCTCTTAATATAGATTGAGACAAAACTAGACACAAATATAAAATATCCAACAAGAAATCTCGAAATACGATTATTTCGCACGTTGTGTACAGACTAGTACATAAATAAAGTTTACTAGAATAAAACAATCTCAAAAAGACGTTGCACAATGCTGCGCGCGCGTGCGCGCGCATTTTTCTTCCGAATAAAGTAATAATTTTATTAAATATCAATATCGTAACGACTATAAAATAACACGCGAACGAAGAGTCGATAAAGAAACGTAATGAAGAAACGTACGTACGAAAGAAGAATGTATAGTATATTTAAAATTGATAAAAAGATAAATATCGTCGTTATGCGATCCTTGAAATTCGCGAACCAAACCGCAAGTGTGGGACCAAATTCCGATATGGGGAGGAGGGGTTGAAATCGTCAATGGGAAGCTTGAAGTGGATGATGAAGAAAGGAAAGGATGTCTCGAGTCTGGTCGAGTCTGGGCTTGAGCTCGCACCTTTTCATCGCTATTTATCTCTTCTCTAATTATCTTTATCGCGTATAATAAATATATATATTATGTGTATATATATATAATATATATCATTATTTATATATATTCCACGTAATAATTTCATTTGTTCCTTCAACAGAAGCGCGCGCTCGGCATCGCCCCCGGCCGGGTGTTCGACACTCTCGACTTACAAAGATCGCCGCGACGGAGGGGCCGAAGGTGCCCCAGGAGTCTCGCGTCGAGGACGATACCGAGGATGCACTAGGACGCGGCTACCCGCTCGTTCCCTCCGCGCTCCCGGCGAGGGGAGCGCCGAGCGATCGACGGTGCGAACGTCCGCAGTCGTTTTTTTTCTCTTTTTTCCACTTTTTCTTTACTTCCCCCCCTTTAAAAAAAAAAGAAAAGCTTTTACCGACAATTTTGGAATCCAAGATTCACATGCAAAAGCTACGCAACTACGTAAAATTTTCACCGCGCGCGATCAATTATCTTACTTTCCCTCGGCGCTCCCGCGCGCACGACAGTTAATCGCGATGATGTCACTCGTGAACTTGGTTATTTCTGGCCGTTGACCTCGCGGCCACGGGAAAATTGGCCGCGGATGCGCTGACGGGACCGCGTGAGACCACGTGATTGAGGATCGGGATCATATAGGGTGCGCGCGAGAGAGATCACGCGACCGAAATCGGTGCGCGAGACGTGAATCGGGTTGACGTTCGATTACGCGGTCGAGAAAGATATGTGGGACAAGAGACCACGTAATCGAGATGTCCGACACACGTCCCATCTTCCCCCGATGCCGACAGGTCACGCGTGATATCGAGATCGATGTACTCTATATATACGAGATTCAGTTTTTAATCCTCCAAGTCACCCGGAGACACCTTCCGAAATGTCTCGATCATTAGGGAAACAAGACGCGCACCTCGAAATAATCAGTCGAAGAGGTCGAAGGTCGAGAAGCGCAGACTCGAAACATTCCCATCCTAAGACAAATGAAAAATATGTGCAACTTTTATTAGCGCATTTGTTTGAGAACTTAAATTAAATATCGGTGATATCTGCGTCAAGCAATTTAGACTTTCTTCTCTCGTTACAATTCATATATGCCCGTAGATATCGCCGTTTCTTAAGAGTGGCTGCAAATAATGATATTTAATTCCCATTAAATTTACAGTCTCTATATTTGAATAAAATTGCAATTTTACCGGAAAGTAAAAAGTACTCGCTTCGAGCTCTTCGACTACCAACAATTTAGCCGAACAATGGTCTCGTGATACCAGCTGCACTTCCGTCGCGCAACGCCGCTTCTCTTCCGAATGAAGTAACCAAGCTCGCGAACCGGTCGCGAAAACCGTATGCAATAGAAAAAACGCTAACAACCGGCCTAATATTATTTTTATTTAGCATCATCGTTCGTAGTAATATAATTAATAATAATTCTCTCCCGTATTTCTCTCCCGTCTCGCGTCATCATTTTTTTTCGTTTAAATATAAAAATGAAAACTAACATATCTTTGGCTTGTTCCCTTTACCAATCGGCAACAGCTCGCGGCTGCGGCGTGCATCATTATTTTTTTTTGTTCTTTTGTTTAAATAACTTTTGTACAGTTTTGTACACTCAAGTGTGTCTGTGTACGCGCGTGCGTATCTTCATCATATTTCTCCATGTACGTTTAACTCCCCCTCAGGCTGTCGCGTGTGCATGTATGTGTGTTGCATATTATGTGTATGTATGTGTGTGTACGCATTCTTTTTACGTATATCTGTGGTCTTATTAGAATATGTTCGATTTTAACGTACACGGTCTTATTTAAAGCGCGCACAAGTAGACTCCTTTTCTGAATACGTGCGAGTGTCCTAGTGAGTACTTATTGTGTGTGTCTCTTTCTCTTTCGCTCTCTCTCTTTTTTTCTTTCTCTCTCTCTCTCTCTCTCTCTCGCTCTTTCTCTCTCTCTCTCTCTGTCCCTTTCTCACTGTCATGTGTTTTGTTTCTTTTTGCAAGTGTATCGATTTGCAAGCTGAACACAGTGTGTGGCCCAGCCCCATATGCCACTGACAGCTTCGCGCGCTTCCGCGATGCTCCGCGTCCTTTTCGACGACGACAACGACCACGACGGCTCTCCACATTTAGTGGATGGGCGATTTCACAATGTGGTCCGGCGGGATGAAGTGATACGCGGGCATAGGCACCCCCGACGTCTCCATCGATATCCTGAAACACAATCGATCGCGTCGTGAGAAACAGCAAGGTTCATTTCTGCCGGTCGTGTTTTCGCCCCGACGAGGACGAGGGGAGAGTTCGAATGATCTCTATCACAAAAATCGGTCCACTTCGTGGAATATATGTTCGCGCTTGAAAATTTTCAAGCAATTCTCCTAACTCTTCCCTCGTGCCCTCAAGGCGAGAACCGAGACAAAATCCCGAACACATTCTCAGCTTCGGAGGAAAAGACTAATGAAGCTGATTGACCTCATCTTTTCGTCCGAATAAAGATATTGCAGCATGCGACGCAAAAGTAGAATACAACGCGAATCTAGTGGCTCTCCGTGAGCCGTATCCCGTATATAAAACTCGCGTGTCTCTTATAGTTTGCATGCCCGGTCTACGAATTTTGTACGAACCATCAGCCAGAGCGTTATCACAGATGCTCGAGATCTGTGTCGTACCTGCAAAACAAGGCTATTACTACATCCGCTTAGGATGGTAGAGCAACAATGTTACCGCGCGACTCCGGAGATGGTCTATAGAAATTTTATCACGCGATACGTACTTCTTCTCGAGGATTTCTCGCGAGCTCGGAAGGATTTAGATGATTGGTACATATCTGGTATTAAAAAAAAAAAATTGAGCAACGACTGAATTGGAAAGTAAAAACAAAAATAGAGAACTGAGAAACGTAGTAAATGAGAACTTCGCAGCCAACAGGATAAGTCGATTAACAGGACTACGAAGGAACGGATGGTGCTTACCAAAAACGGTCAGGAGCCTGGGTCAAGTTGGTTGGATGGATACATCTTCTCTTTTTCTCTCTCTCTCTCTCTCTCACTTTCTCTCTCTTTCGTCCTTTTTATCTAAATCTCTCTCTCTCTCTCTCTCTGTACGAGTTTCTCTCCGATCTTGGTTTAACACTTAACGCTTAACACTTATGTATACATTGGTGAAACATAGTACATATGTATATACGGATTTCAATAGACCGTATTTCTTAGCGTACATTGAGCGTTAAAAGTAACCGATCCTGATCCGAATCCAACGTTTGCCGTGATTGATATAAATGTACAAAAGACGAATGCACGGCTCTAAATGTACTAAAATACGGTCAAATTATGTACACGTGGTTTGACAGCAAAAAGTACTCGCGTTAACAAGAATCGAGAAAAATTTAGTAAAAAACAAAATGTCAAATTTTGCTTGAAATGTAACTGTTATTAATGTTAAAGTTAAAGTAACAAAACGATGGAAGAAGCCATGTCGCATTCTCGTAACAAATTGAGATATCTTCATATGCAGAGTCATCCCTGATTAAAGTATAATAAACCGAGTGGTATATACATCTCTTTCATTTAATTCTTCCTTCAATTATACTGATTTAGTAAATCACCGAAAGATTAACGCAAAGACATCGCGAAAAGGTGGTAATAAAACGTTCAGGTGCCGTAAAGGTGGTCGCGCAATATATTGGAGACCGTTCAAATAAAAGAAACGTGTTAGCCTGCTATGCAAAAAACAGTCGTCGAGAAACAAATTTTTCGCATTGTCGAACACGGTCATGTACATCATTCCTGCGAACCAATGCATTGCGGGACCTCACTCGCAGGAACGCTAGAGCTGTTTTTATTTGGTATTGTATTTCTCTTACTGTATTAAACACGCCTAGCTTTATTTAACAAGATGATACAGGGTGGCTAAAGTCTGTTAAGCATGTAAGTTCTGCGATATCGTTACAGACTAATGTACAGCTGAAGATTATCTGCCTACATGATTCTATGCACGATGCAGGAATACCAGGTACAGCAATGGCTTCCCTTATCAGATATTTATTTCAAATGCGAAGAAATTCTATGTTCTCGTTAAATATCGCGAGTATTTTTTTAAATTGCGTCCAATGGTTTCATATTGTTTCCCCGATTTATCACCGTTATGCGCATCGCTTTACTTGATATACCTACATGATAGGGCTGTGTGTACTTTCTAATGCATTATCCTCGCGATTTTCTCATTTCTTTCATCGTAAACAGTCCTTAGCTTAGAGTCCTGGGCGTGATTTTATTTATTGTCTCGAGAAAGAAATGGACCGAGAGACCATGCAATCTAAAAAAAAATAAAAAAAAACCGCAATGAAGATATTTCGCGATCATGGCGACGGTTGATCCGATCGGAATAGATTTTTCTGCGAACGGGACTGATTCCTCGTGCGATTACCGCGCGTTCCGATAAACCATGGCCACGCTCGCGATAAGGTCAGTACTCGGGATAACCGAATTGTTATGTCCTACGCCCGATCGGTCGCTACTTGCAAATACTCGCTATGAACTAGAAGATTGAGCACACAAACACTTATCTGGTGATTTCCATTATCAATCGTCTTTATCCAAGCGATGAAACATCTCGAACATCTGTCCAAACTGTCCTCTCCCCTTTTTTTCTGCGATTGCGTTAGACTTAGATCTAACCGATCAAACGTTCCTCCGCGGCCAGACGATCTCGAAACCACGTTTTTCAATCACTTACAAAACAGTAGATCAAAAAAACGCTCGAATTACCGTGGAATTAGAAATCTAATCGTGTCTTCTGTGTGTGTATATACGTGTTTTATTAGTTTAATTTCACAAAAAACATAATTTACACGCGATCCCATGCAGACGTCTAGTTGTCTCGCGTGCAGATGTATAAGGATTAAGTTTATTACCGTTATTACAACAACACACTATGTGTATAGCTTGATTGATTATTTCATATTGCGATGGTCGATTATAATGCTTCAAAATTCACCGTATTCGCATTCTTCGCGAACTCCTCGATCGCTCGGTTACGAATCGTTTTTCGTAAGAAAGAAGACCGCAAAAGTCATCTAAAGCACGTTACATGATTATGACATAGGTAGTGCATTTCCAACGCGATTTATTACAAAGACTGATAAACACATGATTCAAAGACGAATTCTCTCACGCACTTTCCTTCTCTTTCTCCTCAACACACATATTCATCCACGCGCGCGCGAAAAACTCTCTTCTATTGATAGAATTCCTATCTACTACGAGAAAAAAAAATCACATCGGAATAGCTATACTATAATAAGGATTTTTGCTTCAAACAGTAATTAATTATAATCCATAATATTGTAATAATAATAATTACAATAATAATTATAATGTAATTATATATATATATATATTTATACTTATATAAAAAAAAGGCTGTCTTGCGACGGTGCATGAGCGATCGCGTCCTCCGAGCCTATCCGAAATCGCTCGTAGAGAATGAAACGCAAACATATGACTAAAGCTTCATGTCGTTAGCTGTAAGGGATCTCAAGAGAATTTATCATTAATGATTTCCGCCACTTCATTACATCACACAATCAGTCTTTACACGATAGCGTCGAAACATCCCGATCTCGGAGGGCGTGTCACGATAGTATATGTGTTGTTTCTAAGACTTAGCATCGGATCATACGGTTTAATAACACAAAAGATTCCAAACGCTCCAATCTCTCTTTTCCTTTTCCTCAGCTAAAGATAATACATCAAAAACAAATAAAAATCCTACAAAATGTTTCCACACAGTGATTCTTAAGAGGAAGTGAGCGAACATGGGCAAGCAAAGCAGTTACCTCCGAAAAAATGATTCAAAAATGTTTCATCTTTCCGAGAGAAATTTCTTCTTTCTAAGATCAGTCGTCGATCGGCTGAAGGTAATCCCTTGTACGATCGAGGATCATCTTTCTCCTCGGCTTCATGCATTTCGACAATCGTGCTCACAATCGTGCCCATCTCAACAATCATTTAGTAACAAAAAAAAACAACGAGTCGATCCTTCGCCAAGTCTTCATACTCGCTACCCTGGCGTCCGTACGCACTTTACTTCGGTGTATTACACATGTGTACGCTATAAGTGTAGTAGTAGTAGATGTATGTGTTTGTGTGTATGTGTAGTATTCCCCCTGTAACATCATCGTTATCATCCCGTCGCTTGTCCGTTCATTCAGTACGGATTGTACTTGGTACGCTCGGACTTGAACTTGCCGCTGTCGGTCGGGCCTGGTGCGCCCGGGCTACGGAGCCTCGGCGTAAAGGTCTTGTGCGATCGGTGCACGCCGGTAGTCTGGACCGGTAGCGCGGATGCAGCTGCGCCAGCAGCACCACCTAGCAATTCCGTGAGTCCGCCGAGGGCGGTGAGGCTAGATAGGGCGTTGAGGGCGCCTGGCTTGCTTAGCAGCTGAGCCAAGGGGATGGCGCTGGCCAAGGGAGAGGCAGTGGTAGTGGTGGTAGAGGGGGAAGCACTGGCCCCGGATGCTCCGGGAGTGGTACCGCTGCCAGGGGTTTGGGTATTTTGGGCCTCTAGGTTAGCTTTCTGCAGTTCGACACTGGGGAAAAGACACAAAATGTAAAAAGGTGAGGGCGGGAACGTTCCTCGTAAAACAGTGTGTCAAAGAGATTAAAAAAAAAAAAATAACATAAGGGATGATAAAAGTAAAGAGAACAGTAAAGTATAGTAGCAATAGTTATAGTAGTAGTAGTAGTAGTAGTAGTAGTAGTAGTAGTAGCAGTAGGAGTAGTAGAAGTAGTAGACGTAGCAGTAGTAGTAATAATAATAGTGGTAGCTGCCGCGGCGAACGCAAAACGGTGTGAAAAAAAATATACATGAAAGAAGAAAGGAACCATCAGAAAAGAAGAAACTAAATCACAAGTTGTAGGCTTAGAGAGTTACGTCAGAGGTGCTCTGTGGAGCATGATTATCACGTACACCGGCTACGTGGTTCGTGGGGGGGAAAAAGTCTTGATCGCGTCAGATCGCATTTAGACCCTACTGAATGTTCGCGGACACTCATACCGGACATAGGCTGACTCGCTGACGAGTGCGGGTCAACCTTGCCCGTGGAGAGTGAGACGCCGAACACGAAGTCGGTCGAAATGCGTCCTGATCGTAAGGAGCGCGGTAGTGGAGGATGCACACGAAGAAGAGGAAGAAAAACACGCGTTCGCTAGTCTACTCTTTCAGAATACAAATTCCTACAAAAACAAATGTCACATCCACCACTAATAAGTAGATTTGCGAACGATACGATGCGATTGTTTTCTAGGTGTAACGGGCTCGTGGTTCGTTGTACAGACGGGAGACCCCGTTGAGGGACATCTCCCTCAATAATTTTCATGAATCGCGTCATTCGTAGTTTGCGCGAACGGAAAGGGCAGGTGGTCTCCACGGTACGTCGGTAGAACGAGCCATTTGCCTCGTGGCTTATAGAGAAGGCAGAAATCAAAGTAAACCAGGCACAACGGGTATGCGTTCTGCCACAAGTTGCACTACATTTGAGATCACGGGATATTCGTCTAATCGCGACGATGAATGATCGATGATCGACTTTTAAGCCTACATGGTCTGAACGAGAAGTCGGAATTAGATAAATGGCAGAGCGCAGACCCGCGGCCGACGGGAGTGCCGGGGATACACGATACGTAATAAACACGATGACAAAGTTAACGGGCAAAATACAGAAGTATTTCGAGATGATAAATATATATAACGGCATTGCGCTATTTATATGCAGTAGTAAAATGTGAGTGGCAATCTGGAATAAAATATAATGGATTATAATTATAAAGTGAGGGTGTAACGTGTAAAAAGTGTGTCGATTCGCGTGTTTAAATTGTACTTGGCTTGATGCTGGTGGGATCTTACGTGTGGCGCGAACTTGTGCCGACTTTTGTCTGTCGTCCTCGAATCTCGTCGACGACTACGTTAGTACCGTTCACCATTCTAATGTCGCTATGACGGAAGTAGATTAGTTCCATAGCATAATTGGAAAAAAAAAATAAATAAATAGTAACAGATCTTCGACACCGACCAATGAACATTAAGCGATGGCAACAACAGCGATGAAAGCATATAACTAAAATGTAAAGATGCTACGGTGAAGGTTCCTGGCAAGGACGAGGGAAACCCTTCACATTTATCGCGCAAATAAAGACGCGACGTTTACGCAACGTTCTTCTGTGAAATGTCAGAAAAATACTCGCTCCAAAGGCAAAATGTATCGTTATCTTTCTTTCTTTTCCGCGAGCCGAGTTGAATGATAAAACAGAATTATAAGCGTAAATGTTATAAGCTGATCGTCCATTACCGGGAGCCTGTCAAACTAGAAAGAAATTTGTGTCATTAAAAAACCGAATCGAAAGGAGGAACTGTGATACGTTTGTTTGGGACTGTTCGGGAATTGATTGTCACTAACGGAGCGACAGTCCTCGTACATCTTTTCATTATGTCTTTCAGTCGGTAGTTTATTTGCTTGAAAGGACAGCCAGCGACAATGGGAACAGATGTTGAGCGGAGTTGTGTTCTGCAGGATACTCGGGGTACTGGACCTGGAAGACAGGACCTGGAAATAAAGGATTAAGATCCTCTTCCGTCTCACGACCGTCGTCGGTGTCTTCCATCTGCATACGTGAACGCTGGTGGCTCGATCATGGCCGTCGATGCGACGTCTTCTCCTCGCATCTTTACCTTACGACTACGTACGACCTGTTTCGCTGTAAACTGAGGTGGCGTTACGCGACGACGAATCTTTTCCATTATCTCAACCAGAGACTCTTTCGCGATAAATTACCGTTATGTTGCCCTGTCAATAGACTACACACGCCCATTCCGCAGCGGTATCTTTCTCAGCGTAATGCCACCTCTTTCATAACATTTCTCGCGGCGACACGCAGTAGAGACGACTTTTTTTCCTAATGCCAATTGTACTCCTTTCAAAAACATCGAATAAATCTTCTCTAATGTCAACATTAACATTTTGCTCATTTAAACTGCAAATCTATTGGGGAGAAACGAAATATATACATATATGGTCTTAAAACCATCCCCCTTATACGAATAACGTATCATTAAGCATATTCTGTTGACGTTCTTAAAACTTTATCTTCAATTTTATTTAAATTTACTTATAGCTTGCAACATTTATACGGCAGCTTAATGGGCATAGGAAAATGTCGACGAAAGTCATCTGTACGCGGGTTGTCGTGAGCAAGTGTGGTAACAATGATGATGGGAGTTATCGCGGGGAGTGCCGATTCGACTATCCCTTACATAGTCTCACCATTAAGAAGACATCAAAGTTAAGTGAGGCAGCAGGTTGTGTGAGGAACGAGTAGCACAAACAGGCGAATCGGCGGATCTCGATCGTGGGTAGGGTCAACAAGAAATCACTCTACGCCGGCGAGACGCGCACCAATTTGGCGGGCGGTGTCGGCAGAGATGCGGGGAAAAGAGAAATAAATAAATAAAAAGAGAGATCAAGGGGAAATGCATCGCGATCCACTGCAAAACGTAGCCGGGACGAGTTCGACTGCTTTCTATTGAAAATGGAATTCGGTGACACATCGAAAGCCGAACCTTGGACGAACATCTCGGAATGACTTCCTGTCGGTCCGAAGGTTGACCTTCGATCTGATGGGCCTGAAGGGGAAATGGTGGTAACAGGCCGTGTGGTACTCACCTCATATTGATGAGATACTGTGCCAACGCCACGGCGTCCGGGTTCCCGGTTATGGTGATCGTGCGGTCCGTTGCTCCGCCCTCCCTCTCCTCGCAATTGCTGATTCGGATCATGGCGCCGGAGATCTGACGGATCTCGGCGATCTTGGTACCGCCCTTCCCGATGATGCAACCGATCAACTCATTTGGCACGGTCATCTCATGCGTCTGATTGTTCGCCGCCGGTTGCTGTCTGTTCGTGTTGCTCGTACGTAGCTGGCTTCCAGCCAATGCGGCTAACGCTACGCGACCATCAATTGCGCAAATATTAGAAAAGTTCTTTCCCGAATCTCAGCATAGTCGTTAATTGAAAAGTACAGAAAAAAGTTGCCCTTTTACAGAATTAGATAATCGATGAGGCAAACGGAAGAAATACGTTTGTATAAGGCTGCTCCCGATAAATTAGTTGCATTGAAGTTTAATTCCGGTTTAACTGATACTATCGTTATTTCCTCTGCCTCTTTTCCTCTAGTTCTGCTCTAGAACTCCAATAAACCTTAACTAATGTTTGTGGAAACAGTTCATAGATAAATTTATATAACTTCTCATTGCGGCATATACGAACCTGTTTTAGTGTAGATCTTACAAGTTTGTTCATACAGGAAGAATTTATTGCGATACCATAAATATTGACTATCAACATAGTTTTGAAATTGACGATGTTGAAATTTGTATTTCAACAGATATTACTACGCATCCAATTGCTTAATCAATTGCGGTTAATTATAAAAAATATCGAAATAGATGAGAAAATAATCAATCGTAAGAAAATCATCGTAATACGTAAATTTGCTTTTTTGCAATCCCAATGATCGACAGATAAATACCACTCGACATCACATGATTACATACCACAATGAAGATAAAGCGAGATAGAAGAATAACATCGACAAGATACTTGCCAATTTATGGATTTCTCGAAGACATGTATTGACTTACCTGCTGGGTTAAGACCACCCGTATTCGCCGGTGTGGCGAGACCCCCGAGGCCTAAGGCTGCCAGTCCAGCCAAAGGATTGCTACCCAGTTTGCCCATCTGCAACAACGACGAAGAGATCCATCGTTCAGAAATTGGAGAAGGGGGGGGTAGGGGTCCGCGGGCGTCGGACAATCACTTGGGGTGTGCTTAAGAGGAGTTTGGGGTTTACGACGACACCGAGAAGTATATCTATGTATGCCTGAAACATGTTCGCCACCTCGCGCATCACGCTCGAGGATCTCCGATTGCGAGCAAGAACTCTTAGCTCAGGGGCAGCCTCGCTGAGAGAGAACGTTCGGTTCTATGTGAGAAGGGGGAACGGGGATATCTTCCGCACGCAATCGACGATTCAATTCGACTATCCCGGACTCATCCCCTCGTGACGTACACGTGATCAACGCCTCGTCCCGACTTCCTGAGACCGGTCCGACGGCTTCCTCATAACGGGCACTACGATGGCCATTCGAGCGTACCGTTTTCAATTACACTTATCGACCCAGAGCAAAAATTTTAATATAGCAAACAGATAAGGTTTTAACGACGATTATTTTTACTTCTCTTAGGCGGGAAGATTTGATTGATCGTTAAAGTTCATCTTGGCATATATGTTATCTTCCCATGGTAATAAATTCTTAATCCAATACAGGAACTATTATAGAATAGAACGAGATTGGAAAAAACAAGAAGACATCCTAGCAACAATCAATATTTAAGAGAAGGTAGTTACTAAGCTTCAGTTCAAACGCTTGTAAGAATTCCGTCGCTCGATTTTCAAGCGTTTTGAAGTCCAGGCCCTGCTGTGACTATACCCGATCTAGTTTGGAAATATCATTTTAAATTTTAGTTTTTTTTTTACAACAGCATAATTCGTCGAAGAATCCCTCCATCCCGCTTCTGACGTCACAACGTATACGGAAATTGAAGTGAGTAAAACCACCGTTTACCAGTCGCCGCCTTAAGCAGTCTACATTCCACGCATTAATCGCAGAAACAAAATCTCGCATGCCTCAGAAATGCATTAAATTGATAAAGAGTGATATATCCCGTTGCTCTGGGATGATAAACGGAACACGGAACGGCCGCTGATAAGATAAACTGTCGCGTTGCGTTACTTCGAAAATCGTGGTAGAAATTACTTAGGGATAGCTTGATGAGGAAGGGGCGTTCAGAAATTACAGAAAGAGAGAACGAATGAGCACGGAGAGAAGAAGGATGTGTGTATCCTTGTACTCTCGTGATACCGTTAAATCACGCGAAATGTAACGCAGCAATTCTCTTCGCATCTACCGTTTCCACATTACAATTACAAATACTTACATGAATGATTTAGCATCATTTTACTTGCATCGAAAAAGATTTTATCGCATTTCATCAAGTATAATCCACTACGACCCTATTAACGACATGTTGCAGTTACTATTAAAATATAATATAATTAAGAAATAACTAAATATTCTAACTTTAGTCGTAAATTACTTTGAGTGACTGCAATAATTATTTAGTGAGCATTAAAACGAGCTAATCGTTTGAAGCAAATACAAAATGTTTGAAGAAAAATTGTATCTAATTACTAATAATGATATATTCTATCTTCATTTTTAAAAAGGATGAAATGAAAGGTAGACGGAAAGGATGGGATGTATGTATGTATGTATGTCGTGTCCTTAACGAATGATAATACTTCATTCCTTATATCACTGTTGTTATCTAAACTAACTTATGTGCAAAGTTTCTAAGCGCTGTTGCACTGTATGAAATATATCTTAATTTTAATATAGGTATATCAAGATGATGCATATATATATATATATAAAGCATCATTAATACAACATATTATCTTAAAAAATTTTGTATATCCACATATTCTACGTATTATATATACATATATAATACACAAAATTTTTGTAAATATAACTGAAGAATATTCTATATCCGCTGAGTTATTTAATCGCATATATTTTCAATAACTGGAAATTCAAGAAAAGAGGCTAGTGTGTGTGTGTGTGCGCGCGCGCGCGCGTGTGTGTGGATCGTCTACGGTCGATAAATTATCTGAAAAGTATTAAAGGTCTATTCACGAATATGTAAACGCCTCCTCTCATAGACGAACCGTCCCGACGTGATCTCTAATGTGTTTAAATGGTGGAAAGGTAATGTACAGGGCAGCCCACCCTTACACGAACTCGTCGCTGACTCTTAGCTAAAAGAGTGCCGGAAGCCATGCTGTTCTAAACAGAATGCCAAGAGGACAATGAGCAACTCAGGATGGAGGAGGAGAAACGAACAAAACGTAGCGCGACAAGAACGATATTAAATGTGTGTACATGTATTTATGCCCGCGTGTGTACGAAAAGTATCTTATCTTTTTTATTTCTCGCGAAGTTGAAGTTGAACAAATGTCTACAAATTTAATATAAATAAATGCAATTGGTTGCTATGTTGAATAGGTCGGCATGTTATAAATAATTTATTTTACTCAGTAGTTAAAAGAAAATATTTTTCAAAGGCATTTTTTATTTTAATTGAAACACTCGAAATAAAAATATTTTACCTAAATAATATAGCATGTTAAATTTAAATTTCATATATTACTATTTTTATTGTTTATTTTATTGTCTAAATATTTGATAAAATTGTGATACGTACATCATAGTATAAAAAATAATGTTTAACCTTTTCTACAATTTTAGTTATCTGCAGAAATTTCGTAATCTGAATAAGTCTTGTAAATCATTTTAGATCTGTTAAAGGCAAAAAAATCTTTTAAATGTGATTCACAATATAAAGTATATAATTAAATTAAAATTCCACAAAAACTCAACAAAAAGATGGACAATTGTGTTCAATATAAGAAGCGAGAAATAAATATTTAGAAACAATTACGCGAGAATTAGATTAGAATCTTGAATACGTTTTTTCCTATGATCTCGAGTCTTAAAAGAAGTTTGGTTGTGACTGGATAAGGAAGTTACTTTTGAGGAGAGCAGGGAATTACTTCTTATGTGAGACCGTATAGAGATAAACAGAAACAAAAACACAAAATCGGACAGTATATCAGGAGAAGAAGCGAAGTAGTAACCGTGTACTGTAAGCCGTAAGAGAGTTCATCAAGCAGACTGAGAAAGTATTAAAGATGGGATCGTGAAAGTAGATATAAAGCGCAATAGTAATAATATATCTAGGTAATCTACCTCTTTTCGTGCCACGCATGCATGTCCTTGTTCGTTTGTGATTTTGTCGTAATTAATTATTTCATCGCTTCTACCGCTTCAACCCCACCCTTTCAGCCACGTCTCTCGAAGTTAACGGGCAATAAGAAAGATCAAACAGGATGAAAGGAAGGAAGAAAAAAAAAAGAAGAAAAAAAAAAGAACAAAACCAAGGAAAAAAAATAAAAGAATTGGTCAAGCCGCAATATATCTGTGGATAATAGGACGTATTATGGTATAGACACGTTCCGCCTTATCGCGCATCTCGTGTTCGTTCGTTTCGTTTCCGGGTAGCAAATCGGACTCGAGGAAGTCGGGCTCCGTGTCGGACGTCGGTCGTTGAAGAGCGCACAGAAAGAGAAGATAGGACAGAAAGTGAGACACGACGACACGCCATCCTGATAATGCTTTATGAAAACATTTGGTCGATCTCGAAAGTTTTGTCGCGCAGAAGATTCGATTAAATATTACAAATTTTCTATTTAAAAAAGTACTTCACGGAAAATAAACACATTTCAATGTAAATCAATGAATTGGAATACCTACATAGAAAGCGAGTAATTTTGCGTAAAATTTAATTTACGTTCACATTTTCAAAGCGTATGAAATTTATCAGAATTATTTAATCATCATAAAAGACAGAAGATTGAAACCAGATCCGACAATCTGATATTCTGATATTGATAACCAAATGTGAAGACACAAAACAACCTTTTTACTAAATTAAATTACCAACTGACAATGAGTTATACCATATACATATAAATATAATGTAAAAAAAAACGTAGCAAAGAGTAAACTGTCGTAATTAAAAGAATGATATGGCGCGTACTCGACCAATGAAATTTCCTATCGCGTCACGAGAACGATCCGATTGATCATACGGGCATTTATCAGGGTGACGTTTCATGGCATCTGCCGATCGATCGGCCGGATGAGTGGATTTTCAAAGCACTACCATAGTAGCCCGGAATTAGAGCGTCGGCTATTTGATGATTTTGGCCTCCTCATTGATCGCAAGCCGTTCGTGGAGACTTGTAGCGGTAACATCTGGGACCTTCTATACGTCTCTCTCTCTCTCTCACTCTCTCCCTGACCGAATCCAACGACAAGCCATGACGAATCCATTGTGCGACCCGTGAGCAAGCATTCATGCTAAGCAGGCCCGATCGTTCAGCGCGAGGCTCAGAACAAGTCCCCATTTCGCCTCCAAGTTCCTTCCGAGAGAGCGCACAAATTGCCGCTCTCGGACGATGATCGTATCGAGAAAACTGGGCTATTTATCTGCTCGATGCAGTATGTCTGTGCCGAATATATATTATAGAGACCGATTAACTCTATGTGTGAATATCCTGTATTTTTCTCATCTAAAAATAGATGTAAACGATAGGAGAGAAAAGTAAGATTATATATAAAAAAATAAAAACAGCTAATTGGTAGTTCAATACGATCATCAATGGAACCATATAAATGCAGTAGCTAAATGCACGACCAAAATCTTCAGATACCAAGTTGTAGATGAATACTTTAAACTTGAGATCTTGCATCGCCAATAAAAAAGTCGCGAACCAGTGAATTGCTAATATCAAAATAAAGTAAAAAGATATTAATCTCAACAAAATTGGAACTGAATTGACAAGAATCAAACTAGATATATCGTGTGTAAATATAATAATTAAAATCAAACATACTAACACAGGTTTTGTTAATTCAACCTGGTATCGGAACTCATATTACGTCGTACAATTGCACATTTTTAACATAGCATGCATCTTAAAATTTCTCTATGCACTGTGAGAAACGGCAAGCAATTTTTAAGGTGATCAACCCACTACCAAACGCAAGCTTACGAAAAAAGACACGTGTACACAGGTTCAGGTCGAGCTTGTTAGAAGCGTCAGTGAACGTCTATCTAGGACTTAGAAAAAAAGTAACCCAGAGAGAAAAGCATGCACGTAACAGCACGTGCGGATCACATATAAAGCAAAGCTGGCACAAGTCTCGCGTGACTTCGCTGATATCGTAAAATCACCAAAAGATATTTGCTCATTCTAAAAATGTAAAAGAAGGCAAACTTTCTTCTGAATCACTATTATTAAAATGTGATTCATAGAAATGTTCTCTTTTAAATAAATAAAAAAAAGATCGTAAACATATCGTACTTTTGATATGAGAAACCTTCCAACAGCAACTAACAATAAGTGGCAAAGTAAATTCTAGTCGCGTTGGAAGTTACTATTAAATATAATTACAGCATGCCTTATTTCGTTCCACCATGTTATGTCTAATCAGATGTTGCTACAGTCGAAGTCACGCGACAAGAAAACATAAGGGTTTTGAAGGTATGTACGGTCAGAGCTAATAGTGCATCAGGATCCTTTCGATCGCATCTTCACGCAATCGAAGCCAACTTGCAGAATATGCGACACGAATATTCCTGGACAGAAAGCTCAAGACCGTACGGGGATATCAAGCAGAAAGCCAAGGTATTGATGCATATACGCGGAGGGAGACAGAGGACAGTAAAGAGTTTCAAGAGGGAGAGGAGACCAAGTGACCTAGATAATAATGAAATATATTGATAAATATATTATAAGCTTCCACGGCATTTGACGAAAATTGAAATAATCTCGAATCCAGAGTCACACTGAAATCAGTATATATTGTTTACCGTTGTTCAGTGACCAGCGCTATCTAAACCATGTATTAGCTTCGAATGTAATACATAATGTACCTCGAATTATTGTTCAAAAGGTTCCATCACTGAATCTTAAATCGACTTACAATGTTCATGCTCACTACAGCCAATACATATTCAGTACATTCATTTTAATAAAACTAACTAAGCCACAGGAAAGATCAAGACTTCCACGTTAATCTATAAATTTCTCACAATTACCGCGCTCTTTCGCCTTTATAACGAAAGCCACAGTGTTTAATCGCTGTTGCAACAAGCGAGTAACTGCACGCTTGACCATTCGTTTATCTATAAAACTTTCTACCCTCCCGATTGCGCATTAACTTAACCGCAAATTAATCCCACTAATACCATGAACAAGCGTAGATTCGTTGCGCAAGTGATTTCTCCTTTCTCAACTACTATGTAGAAAAACATAATAAATGCAAATATTGAAACATATTGTAAACGAATAAGAAATATCAACTTAACTGCGATAATATTGGCCTTTCAGATGTCTCTATGTTCATATTTTCAGTTAGAATTATCTAGTTTTCTAAAGAAACAAATTACTGTGTTTTTCCGTAAGCCATCTCTGTCTCTTTTTTCGCGATTATTCCAACTTTGAATCATCTACCGAGGTTGCCGGTAAAGTTGAAGTTTTGTCGGATATATTAAAGATTATGTACAGTGAAAAGACATTGAACCGGGAGGGTGTATCAATTTTTTGGACAAGTGGAACGGAAATCCATCGTATGTATATTGTTACCCTGGTGATAGCCAGGTTGGTGATCGAGAATAGGGTATGGGAGAGGGTGGAGCACGAAAAACAAAAGACTTACGGCGTCTGCCACGAGGTGTGCGGGCGGGAGGGCTGCCTGCAAGTGTCCACTCTTCAGCAGGGGGTCGGCGAGGCCTGCCACGCTGGCGTGTAAGGGGCTCGGGTGGAGAGGATGATGGGGGGCCGTAAGATGGGCCGTGGATAGGAGCGGGTGCCCGTGAGAAGCGGCGAAGGCCGAGGAGGGGTGGGCCGCGAAGGGCGAGGTCGTCAAAGTTTGGGTATTCAGCGAGGGCGGGGTGTGCCCGGCAGCGGGCGCGGGCAATGGTAATACTGTACTTACGTCCGAGTGGGCGGGCACCGCGTAATTACCCTGGATGGTGTAGGCTTGCCCACCAGCCAGGATCACTGGCCCACCGACTTGGGGTTTGGGGCGATAAGGGATCGTGGCACCTTTGGGAGGGGACTGAAACAGAAAGAAACACACACACGAGTGCGAATACACCGATCGAGCCGTTACATTTGGTATAGCATCCGCGGTATCATAAAAAAAAAATGGCCCTTTTATCCTATTAAAGTCCAAAAATGATGACTCAGTCCACGAGAGAGTCGCTTCATGACCGAAAACTTCAGCAGCGAGAGATACATACACCGCGTCGCTCTGAAGAAATTTATAAATAATGAAAAAAAAAATAAAATAAAATGTAATTAAAATTGTTATTAATACTCATTTACTCTGGACTTTAGTAGGTTAATCTCATTTATCATAATTCAGTAAAATTGTTTAAACGTGTGCAATCATTCTTTTAAGATTAAATCAATATAGTACGAAATATCGCATTTAAGTTTTGAATGTTGGTGTAGTTACTATTTGTCAGCAGATTAATAACTATAAACGTACTTAATGGAATCAATGGCACGCTCATGAATGATTACGATTACGTAAGTTGCTTTCGGCTATATAGTCTTTCCGGACGACAATTTCTATAAAGTCAAGTATCAAAGGGCGAACTAGAAACAAAGAGACGTAGATCGACCGTCGCGAGGTCGCAAAACAATGGTACGTACCTCTAGCATAACGCAGCAGATATGATATATGCATTGCGTGATCGCCTCGCTGGTACCGGATATGGTTACTGCACGTTCCGTCGAATTAGGCAGCATCTCAGAAGCGACTTGGATAGAGGCGCCAGTAACCTCCCGAATTTCTTTGATCTTGGAACCACCCTTGCCGATCAGGGAGCCGCATTGCGAAGCGGGCACGATCAGTCTGAGTGTGATGGGCGGCCTCGATACACCACCACCGCCTCCAGCACCGCCACCCTGAATGTCGTGGAACTGGGAGCACCACTCCTCAAACTTCTTGCATATCAGCGTGAACGCCTTGAAGATCGAGTTCGTCGGCCCGGTGACAGTCACTATCCGTTCCGGGCAGGAACCATCGGAGATATTGATTTTCGCGCCGGACTACGTTAAGTAAACGGAAAAAAGTATTACCGATCATGGGTCTTCGTATATATGTATATAGATATATATATATATTATATATATATAATTATTTTCAGCTTCCAATATTCGATAATCAATGCCGGCTATTCTGAGAGGTCAAGTTAGTGTGTATTAGTGAAATAATAATTAAAGTAGAAAACAAACTTAAGAGAGAGACATGTAAATGTAATCTGTCCTTGACAGCTGAACCAATCGTAAAGCACTAATAATAATTTACATGCTTTCACGTAGAATAGCATCTTGTAATACGTGATGCGATTACACGTAACTCTTTTTTTATTGTCAAAAACTTAGGTGTATTTCGCAATAGGAATTGATACTTACTTCTTCACGGAACCTCTTGACGATCTCTCCTTTTTTCCCGATAATGCTACCGACTTCCTGCAATAAAATAAGAATATTACGTTAGTTTACGTGTCTTTAAGATCTTAGTACACACTAAACTCGATAACACAAACGCACGTACACATAATTACTTAATGCCCTGAATAATGCAGAATTGTTACTAACTCTGTCGATGAAATAAAAATACGTTACGTTATAGCGCGATATTGTGATATTAATTATTTATTATAACGTAAAAACATGATTGGTACAATACAATTGTATATCGGTTATCAATCGATAATGATAATCATAGAACATATTTTGAACGCGTTTGTCAACAGATATTTAATGCACAATTTTACTAAATATATTGATATCATCACATTTTGTGATTACATCAGTACATTATGCATAAAAGGAAGTAACTGCGAGATATATGACAAAATTGGCACGCAAGCCTATAATTAGTACGCATAAGTAGCTGATGTCCACTCAGACTTCGCGTCTACCCTGATACCGTCTGACCTCGGACGTCACTGTTACTTCCGTAGCAACCACAGCGCGGGTATATTCTTGCGCGCTCTCTAAACTTAGATGATGTCTCCCGGACGAAATGCCAACGTTCCTAACGACGTTAACGAGTTTCGCATATCTCGCGCTATCGGTTTATCGTCCCCAGGTTTAAGAGGATCAAAATTTCATGTATTGAAACAGGCTCGCATGCTACTTCGGCACATCTTATCCCCGTGAACGGAATCGCGTGCCAGTGTTCGTGCACCAGCGCGAAGTCGCAAACTTGTGAATACGGGCCGCGACGCTGACCCTAATTAGGGTTTATACACTTTCATAGTTCCGCCGTTCGTTCCGCGCGAGCGGTAAACAAATCAACGACGGCGACAGTCGTGAATTCCTATTGACGTGCCCAAGGTAGCGCGATCGGACAAGCGTCATCGCCGACGAATTAGATGCACGCCGAAGCAAATATAGCTGGAACAAGAAGACAGCGAGACGATGAGGGAAGAGGGCTTGGCGACGCGCCAGACACGAGGGTCAGGCGACGATCGGCGAAATCCGTGAGATTGCAAGTCCTCGAGAGAGAAAGAGAGATCAGATTGTGTCGAGCCGCGTTATCAACCTAGGACAGTACGTCATAGCGGCTCCTACACGGACGTCGTTTCCGAGAGCTATGTATAGCCACGACGCTATACCGGTCAATAGTTTCAGCGCAGCCTACTTTTATGAAATAAGATTAAAAGTTTTCCGATATTGTCCTACTTCTGTAAATATACCGTATCGCCATGAGAGGTGGAATAAAGCGCAGAAGATATAGAGTGAATAATATAGAGTGGCATATGGAATTAAACAAAATTCAGCTTTATGTCAAGTCTTATACGACGTCTTGAACGCTAATTTCGATTCGAGAAGTGCCAGCGAAACACTAAGTATATAGTTCTAACTATATAGTAAACAAGTGACAGCGACAGAAAGTCTTTTCGAGCTACGCGTTTGTCACAAGGATTAAAGTCTACTTTACTGAAGTCTGCTTTAAGAATACAAAGGCGGTGTAGCAAAAATTAGACTCTCGAGTTGCTCTATGATTGCAGACTGGAATGATTCCTGAAGGCTCGCAAGTATGACTGGTTGGCCGATGGCCCTGGCCGGCGTCCAAACCCCGCTGGAGTCCAGAGATTCGCCAAAAAGCCCAAAACAGAATACACTGGCAGCGAAAAAAGCAAGAAGAGACAGGCGCGTCCTTTTTCCCCCTTGGGGTGTTTGGAGATCATTAATTGTCATCTCTTTCACAAAACTATTGAATTCAACCGGCGGAGCTAGGTGAAGAGATTGGTGCTACGTGGCCGGGACGGAAAGAAAATATTTAGATAACACAGGTACGAGTCGGCTCAATAGATAAGCTTGGACCCTAGCCAAATATTTACGTCATAATGATATCGCAAGATCGAAGACGCGGTAGCGGCCATGACATTGTTCAACGATACAATACGGGAACGATATCGTTTAATGGCGGAAACTAAAATGGACTCTTGCTGCTGTTCATCGAGAAATTGGTAGAAGATAAAGATGAAATTGCGATTGCAATTTTTGAGCCATATTTATAACGCTTCATTCTACTAGCGGGATAGTTAAAGACTAGATGAAAAAGTATTCCTCTCGTAAAAGTTATAGCAAATTTATTTGGCTGAATTATTTTACTGACGTATATTGATTTATGGATATCGTACTTATGGGGATGAGTCACCGGGACCGTGCCATCGGAAGGATAATGGAATCATGATAATCCGCGATGCACCGGCCGATTGGCTTTTGGCCCTGGCCGGTGTCCAGTCTGCCCCAGAAGATCACGGTGCGTGCTCCACCAGCAGACATAATGCCTCTCCGGCCAAAAATGCGGCTAGACGTATTTATTTCGCGCGAAGGAGGCTGCTCGACTATCCATTTACCCGTTTGCAGAGCTCCCAAAGCGAGTTTTGCAACACGCGCGACCACGGCATTGGCGAGCTGAGTAAAGAGGCGCATAATTAATAAACGTCCGTGAGATCAGCGTGTCCGCCACGTCCGAATTGTAACGTTAACGCGACGATCCGAAGACGTTCTTTATTGCTTGATTTATTGTATTGAAGCTATTGTTATCAAGATGTGATAATATATTACGGCTGCATTCAGAGAGCGCGCTATTAACGTTATTGCATCATCTATCTTTATCGCTCATTAGATGCAAGACAAGGATGGAATAATCAAATAGCGCTAATAGCGCGCTCCTCGAATGCAGCCTAAGAGAGAAGAACAAAAAAAAATTAATTACTTGGAATGATCTGCCAAAAGACGCGACATAAAATATATATACAATTAAATTACAAAAGTGCTAGATGAATCTTAAATGTTTAGTTTACAATGTTCTGTTAAAATAATAACAAATGTTATCAATTAACGAAGAAAAATAGTCTCGTGAGATGTCCGTAACCTTATAATTGGATTAGTCTCGTAATAAATGTACGCGTAATTAGGTAAGAGGTACTACTTTCCGTCATTAATCTTCAAACGCGAGTTGATTTTTATCCTGCTGTAACTAAATGTAGACACCTCGGGGGAAAAAAAACACGTTGACGAGGGGACGAACCCCTAAATACGCCATGACGTAGTCGACGTATCATCGTCGAGACGTAAAAATGTGGGTATAATGAGATTTGCTACGGCAATATTTTTTCGAACCGAGGACAGTGGTTCATTTAAAAGAGAGAATCAGATTCGGCTGAAGGCTGACAGAATGTCGAGAAACTCTCTAAAGAGATCGAAAGAGCTCGAGAAAGATGTATCACTGGATGAGAGATTAAACCTCAGGCGCGGCTTTAGACGGCTGATAATCGTTCAAACATGCAGGAATATGCAATAATTTCTATGTCGCACTTTAGCACGAACTTATACGCGTTCACGTGTGTGTGTGTGTGTGTGTGTGTGTGCGCGTGCGTGCGGCGTAAACTATTCTCTTAATACTTCTTAGCTCTTTCTCTCTTGTCAAAATTCCTTTCCATAATTCAGTTTAATTACTCCCGAACGTCACCGTCTTAAAAAATTCCAATGCTTTAAGTGCCGTGTTATCACAAATCTCGCGTACAATCCGATTGGATTAAATAAAATCTATTTAGTCTCGAGCTGTTGGAAAATCGCTGAATTTAGCAGCTGTGTCCACCGCACTAATACCCAAAGAGCATTAACAGCGAATTGTAAAACTTGGCAGATGTACGATCGACGGCGAAAAGATCTACGCATCGAAAGGGACATCGGCGTCTAGCTAGGCGCGATTAATTACCGAGACGACGGACATTAATTACTCGTGCTACGATGGTATTGCACCTCGTGCATGATAATTAATTACAAGCAGAAACGTTTGTAGGTGACGTGTTCCTAGAACGAGGATAGACACCGAGTACAGGTGAAATAAACTTTGACACTTGTCCCGTGAAAGGCCAGCGCTCCGTAGAGCGATTTTTCTGCAGAAATTCCGTCTCGTGATAATCTCGTAGATGACGTAATTAATATACGCAGCATCGAATTACATTTCACGGAAAACTTTCACTTTCGAGCCACAGAGGGCAAACTTTTCTGAAATAATTAAGCACTCCATAGGAACTCCCTCTTTTTAGAATACCTACATTTTTTAACGTAAATTAGCTCGTAAAATTCTCAATTAAAAAATATGTATGTTAATTGACGAATTATTAGTAATCATTGACTGTAATCATGTCAGTTTTTCCGGAAGAGATCGATTTCACGGACCGAGGATTAACGGCTCGTAATAGGACAAGACCGCTAACAAATCGGATCTTTCACCGAAAATGACTGACAATGAAATTTCAGACAAAGGTATCCATAACGTGTGCCAGTTCTGCAAATGTCTGCAAAGGGAAGACGTAATATGCAGGGCAAAGAGTTGAGGCGCATAACGAAAATTGCTTTCGCCGATGACCACGGGTGCTCCTCTGCCGCTTGTCATCGCAGAGCTGAAACGTACGTTCGTGTAATTGCTCTCTGCTTCATTCCCGCGCACGAACTTTTCAATGGTTGTCCCTTTTCCCGGTCTTTCAGCCCACCAATCGAAACTCCGCATGAGAATCTCTCTTTGAATAGTCTTGTAAGAATCAAAAAATTATATCAAAAACGACCTTACAGATCTCCCAATATAAGTTCGATAGTCAAGCGTTCAATGAACAGACGACGTTTCCTATCGCCAAACAGTCGATTCTTCCTAACCATTTGCAATGAACGTTGTACATACGTCTTATCGCAGCGAAGATTACTTTCAAATTTATTGGTCACAGATGCGGTAGTCATGCAACTCTCCACGTCGCAAGTTCGATTGCTGCGTAATACCTAGTGAACCTCGATGCAACATAAATCTGATTTGAGGCGCTCAATGCCGCAAGGCACGCAATACTGCCTTGCGAAAAATGATATCGACAATTGGGGTAAATGCTGATTTCTCATCGTTTTGCATAGACAGAAATTCCGATCTCGTCAGAGAGCCGGCTGATAGAAAATCTGTATATAAGTTACCGTGTGCGACACCCTGTGCACGAAGATCGCAACGTAGTTTACGCGAAAAACAACAACCTCGGATTCTTGGCATTGCGTCAAACGCTCGTACGCTTCAGGCCACATTGTATGCCTCATGCGCGGTCAAACGTGATTCCGATGAGCATCGCCGATGATGCGCTCTACTCTAAGGGACTGCAGTATGTTCAATTCACTTTTCAGTGGAAAAGATCGCGCAAACGTAAAACGTAACGACAAATAACCTTTAAGACATCTCGATATCGGGCATTATCTCAGTCAGCCCACACGATTAATTCTTACGTGCTTTATCGTAAGTGAAACTTATTTCCTGCAGATGAAACTGATAATGACTTTGATATAACAAAGAACGCTAATAACGTCGTAACTCCGGAATCTTATCTCTTCCGCGCGTTCCCGTTCTTCGTATCGATTCAAATCTGCGTTGTCGAACGGTGTCGATTCGAGAAATCAATTAAAAAAAGAAGTTGGTGAAGACTAGAGGATGCGCTATTCCAGTTGCCTCTATGTAGGTATGCGCGAATAGATGTCAGGCTGATGTAAAATAAGCTCGGCTTTCCTATTCTGATGAGAAGAATTATGTTACGTGCCAGAACTGCGCTCTCTCTGTGACCAGCCACAATGTGTCGAAAGGCGCGGTCCGGCCTCTCGTAAATAATTCGCAGTACTTGTCAAAAAGAGAACACTGTAAGTGACAGTGAGGACCGCGAGTGACGCGTCTGAGATTTATCATCGCCACGCAAGCTAAGCAATTATGTCTCTTTCTTGGGATTCCGGCAAATACGCGTTATCGCGGTTATCCAGAGTGTGACGACCGACGGCGAGTGCTTAGATATTTTCACGATCGCCGCGTTAAAACGCGAGCGCATGAAATACAATCAATCCGAAACATATCAATACGCGCCGACACGTTTTGCCAAAAATAACTTTAGCATGCCTTCAATATATATATATATATATATATATTTTTTTTTTTTTACCGATACTCGCAAATCGTCAAAAATCATGCGCTCAGAAATGGGATACGAACGATAAATGTGATTTATTCTCCGAGTCAACGCGCCTCTACAAACGGATATCAGTTGATATCCAGTGGGAGGTTGTTTGATACCACGAGATTTTGAACGCACACGAGCGCACCAAAACGTACACATATGCGCGCACATACACGAGTTTTCCGCCCTCGATAATGCATTATCTTATTACTGTTGCTTCTCCAATTTCATAGCATAACGAGACACGCGAGTAATAATCTCAAATGTATAAAAAAAGTTATGTTCATATATCTATATTCAGGTCACCGAACGAATGCAAAATAACGTGAAAATTATTAAAAAATGTGTACGTAAAAAGGCATTGAAACTCGTAATATAAAAATGTGCGTATTAAGAGAGACATTAAATTCCTTGTGCAATTTCCTATAAAACGCTTAATGCTCTACACTTTGGATTAGTCGAGAAAAAAAAAGGAAGAATGCATGCGGAATAAACCAAATGAGTGACGCTAAAACGCGCGATAAACATGCCCGGCGATTCGGAACGCCGGTTTAAAACTCCGATTAAACTTGCGTACTCGATTAAATAAGCTCGATGAAATTATTTTGCGCCGAGATATAACGGGTAGCTTACTTTGCCCTGCATAATCAGGCGGATGGTCAGGGTGACCGAGGGATCATCGTTCAACACCGGCTTGTTGTCCATGCCGTCCATTGCGTGATTGCGGATCTTGTGGCTTCGATTGGAGACCTTCTCGACGTTCGCGGAGGGGAAGGACGCGGAGGAGGGCAAGGAGGACAGGGGAGAGGTTAGGCGAGTGATTTTGATCGGGGGAGTCTCGGGGGACGTGCTCCTCAAGCGCTCCCAGGTAGTTTCGGTCCTCGTACTGAAATCAGAGAAACATCTGGGTTACGAAACCATTTTTATATTGTAGAACGCTTTTAAATTTCGGCAGGAAGAATCTTTTTGTTTTAATCGACACCCTTTGTGTCTCGAAGAGATACGAGATGTTATTCGGACACGTCGTACAGTCGCGCATTTTATCATTGTAAATTATTATTACTTATTCGTTCATTATTTAATTATCCGCTATTCGTTATTCATCCTTTTACCGTCGGACTACAGAATGCCGTCAACCTCCTTTTCAATCACAATCACGATACACGTATAATATCGATCATGATTGAATGCTGCATGCATAAACCGATGATGAAATTTGTACGTTTGATTTATGCGACACGAGAGATTATCGTGGTGGACGTTATTTATCGGGGCGTTGAATTCACATGCATAGAAATAAGTGGTTTGAAGTGAACTCCAGAATTAGCATAACAATAGTGCGCGGCCGAGGAGCGGCAATTCCGGGAATGCGATATACCACTGTATTAACTTATTGTTGGTGAGTCCGTGCAATGTGAGATTTATGGAGCTCTATATATACTAATAAGTCCATATAACATAATCAAATAGTTTTATACGCAAAGCTCCGCATTCCTCATGCTTTATTATTTTATTCATCAAATGAAGCTATTAATAAACCTATCGGACTCATTTTGACCTCATTTCAAAATGTTCAACCCTTTACACGTATTCAATATTGTGAAATATGAAGATAAAAAGCTGTAACGTTCGCTCAACATTTCCTTTCCGCAAATATAAAATATGGCGTCATTCGTAACGCTTGTGTGCAGAATCGAGCGAAACAAAACATCACGTTCGCAGTTCACGGTCAATCTCGTTTTGGCGCGATGCACTTTCACTCGTCAAATCGGCCAACGAAAATAAAGTTTATTGTCACAAAAGAAAGAAAAAAGGAACGCTCGACGATTCTTCACGGAGCTCACCGCGGCGCGCGGGCACTCGATCTTTATAGTGACGAGCATTATGTACGGAAAAAATGCGAAAATTTTCAAAATATTACACAAAAGCGTACATATATTTACAATATAAATTATTTTCTAATTAATCCCCTGTCGAGAATATAAAATGCCGTTTACGAGGAAGCTGGTTAAATGAGAAGAAATACAAGTTTTGTAAGAATTTCAATTCCTTACACATATCACGATGATGAAATAATACGGAAATAATACAGTTGAGGAAAACGCGGTTGTAAGGGACAAAAGTTGTTCGCGGATGATCAATCAGCGCATTCCGCGGCATTATTTTTCAGCCGGTTAACGTTAATTACAACTACTGCCGGTTGTTAAGCCGATCGATAGGCCGCTGGAAACCTGGTCGAGGAGAAGTTCTCTCGAGATATTCCGTTCCCTCTCTAAAGGAAGGAGACGTAACACCGCGCCCCTTCGTACCCCTTCTCTTCAATGAGAGGGGCCCATACGAGCGCGCGGCGCGAGACAGGTTTGCTCGATCGGTCCGTTACGAGCTACGCAGAACGCGTTTCTGGTTGTGCACATTTATTTCTCGCACGCACGTACGCACGCATGCACGCGCGAGAACCGACGACTCACCGCTAAGAAAATTATTAGCGGCAAAAATCTGTCGTTACCGATCGATGAAGAGCAGCGAAGAGGCTCAAAGTCGTATAAAGTTTACAATTTCTGATGATCGCTTCGAGCAAATAAGACTCGTATAATGATCTCCGGACTTTTAAACCAATCACGTTCTCCTACAATAGAAACTTATATATTTGAGGAACATATTTTTATTATATTAAATCTTGAGACGTCTTTCGCAAGATACTCCTGAAATAAAAAATTGCGCGTAACGCGGATCTTGAACCCCCCGCGCGTGCATTGATTCTACGTGACTCGAGTGTTTGCGCACTGACGGGTTTATATATAAAGTACGGTACAAAGGATAGAGGACTTATGACATCGCGGATGGAAAGCCGCGACGTGTTTTCTAGGCTGCGTACGTTTATCGCGTTTCACGGACAGCTTTGTGCAAAAGTTTACTTGGTCACTTCGGTCCCAGGCGGAAGTTTCCAAGCGAGTCGTCGCGTCGCACGGAAACTTGCGACTCTCCTATATTAGTTTTGCATCCACAAGTGCGACGAGATTTCCTGCGTTTTTCGACCCACGTACGTTCGTTACAATCCTGTGTATCCTAAAAAGGCGCTTGTCGCAGGAAAAAGCTCCTTTATCTCTCCATTTATTTCACGGTTTTTTATTTTTCGCCCTCCGCCAATGCAATCGTCATTAGATTTTTCACGCGAGACACGTGTAACTCAATAATTTACGTCAGAATATATTGTTGACGTACGTAGGGATTAAGCGTGTCGGGGGCTGGCGCGGTGTAGGAAATGCAAGAACGTTGTATCGAGCGCCGAGAGAGATGCAAGGGCTTTAGGAAACAGAGTATATTATCCTTCGTTATAATATATCTCTCTATAATCGGCCACGCAGGCGACTCGCCGTCCGTCGTCTCGCTCTACTGCGGCGGCTCGCGATGCACGTGGACGGTTGACGTTAGTGCGATCCGCGTTCCGTTATGCGTGCGTTTAACATAAGTGAAGTTTTAATGACGTTTCGCCAAAAGGCCAATCACACACGGGAGTGAAAATGATTGTTGTTACCCGGCGCGCGCGCTTTCTTCTCCCGAAATTTATCGGGATCTCCGGGGTCCACGGGTCGTTGCACGCACACGTGCGAAATGGGCGGATCCAGAGATCTATCCGCCCAATTTACTTAATCTTATAAAATGTCCCGTTTATAAATGTTGCCAGTTTATAAGTCTCCCTTTCAGATTCGTCGCGACGTCTCCACTCGTGCAAACGAGACAAAGTAAAATCAAGTGAAATTTTTCACGAAATCGTCGCGAAACTTTTCGTCGATTTTTCACTCTCAAGCGACGTCTTTATGCGATGCGAATAAAAATATTAATAAATCGAGATCGACAATGGAAAGCTCGCGAGATGAGACGCATATGTAATTGATCGACCGACAGCGACATGGAAGCGTCAGCGCAAAATTTTCCCGCGAAACTATACGATTTCTGAGAGAGATAGACGAATTTTTATGTAACTCGTAAACCGGTTTTTAAATTATCATAAAAAGTTTCCTGTCATAAAACCGCGCATTTTTCGTTAATCCGCAAAATAATGGATTTAAACCCGATTTATCTAATCTTCAGTTCTTAGTATAAATACATGAATAGATTCTCGCATTTGACGTTCGACGTTTTACTCAATTTTCTGGATTTTAAACCAGCTCCTAGGTTTCCAACTTTAAGGCCTGGGCGCGCAAACAGATATTTTACATCGAAATAAATTTGAACCCAACAGAGCAAAAGTGATGACTTTTCGGTTTAAATCGCGTGATACCGGCTTGCAATCGGGCCGCGTGCAGTCACGAAAGAGTCTCGAAAGAGCAGGATTAAATCCCTGAACACATATATTGTAGTTAAATATTGTCACTCGATGCAGCACGAAATTCGAACCTTCGAAAGTCCCACGTATCGTTCGTGTTTTAAAAATATAACGTGCACCGGCAATATTGAGAGCCTTCCTTTTTCTCGCGCTTTGACGCGAGATCCAGCTCCAGACGTGCTTCGAAAAACCGACGAGTGTCAGAAGATAAACGTCGACGTTGTCCGTCCAACTGTCAACACGAACTGATAATCATTCACAGTCGATTTGCCTCGAATACAAAATTTTCATGTCAAATATATCTTGTTTGTATACCTAAACAAGTATCGAACGTGTGAGAAAATAGTCATTCGTCATATCGGGAAAAAAAAGAGGAAATATTTCAGCACAAAACGAAATACGGAATACATAAATATACACGTTCCACGATATTTCCCTTTGCCTCTAACATTTTTCTAGATGTACGCTCTCGTACGTGTTTAAAATATGGAACACCTTGTACATTTCGGTCCTTAGAATATATGCAATCTACTAATGTAAATACAGGATTAAAAGTGCCTTTATATGTAAAGTTGCACGCATATCGGAGCATATTCGAAGCGCGTGCTTCCTATCCAAATATTCGCGCATTGCGACTGTTACGTATTCGAGAAACATTGTTACATTAATTATATTGTTATTGTTACTCATCAAATATCGATATGACAAACTACGAAATATCGCTTCCACCTGCTTTAACAGTACGTGGCACAAATATTTAGATAGAAAGCACCCCGATACGCATACAAATTCATACGTTAAGGTCTTTATGAATTTTTCGAGTGCAATATAATCGCGTCACTCTTGAAAATCGTCGACGTCACGAGGATAGGAGTAGCGGTTGTTGTAAATATCGACGGCCATTTCCTTTCGCGTCGCAGTCTAACGAATACATGTCGATAAGCATCTTACGCGCTTATCGGCGTCCAAAGTCTTTCGTAACCGTATGGTCGCGCGGGAGGGCATTAGTCCCTTTTTGACGTCGCGGATTGCGGATCACGAATCCGGAACGCGACGGTGACGTCGCCAAACGCGAGCGACTTTTGCTCCGGGGATCGGACGTGCGACGTGCGGATAAAACACGCGGCATTGTGTTCGCATGCCGCGCCGCGCCGCGCCGGGGAGAGTGTATCGAGCGCGAGGAAAAAGGCACGCAGACGGTAGAACGCAGATGCATGCGAGAGTCGTCGACCAGAAGCGGTACAGTCGCGGCAGAAAGCTAAAGGCCTGGGACAGCCCGTTTTATCTCGTCTTCTCCTTCTCCTCCTAGGATCATGCCCGATCAGCGCCGACGGCTGCGGGCCTCCGGTCGCATCGACTAATCCCGTTCGACTTCTCCCTCTCTTACTCTCTCTCTCTCTCTCTCTCTTTCCGCTCTTGACTTTCAAAGGGAGATACGTAACGTGTCTCAAACTTCCGGAATCCGATTCGACGAGAGAGAAATCGAACAACGACAACTAAACGGAAATCGAGGCGCCGCGCCGTGGCCGTCGCGTCGGCATCACGGCCGTGCTCTCTCGGATTTAAATCGGAATACGCGGATCGTTGATGCACCGGTCACACATTTCGAGGCGTCGTTTTAATTCGTCTCGTTCGCCGTCTACGTTACAGATGGTGGTGTAGTCGCGAAAATTATAATCACTAACCACGAGAAGGTTGGGTTAGCCCAGGTTAGCCGAAACGCGCGATGCGGTCCGGCAGGTGCTGGTTCAACGACGACGTTGGACAACCACATCTCCCCCCTCCCTCCCTCCTGCCAGCCTGCCTTCCCGCCGCGCCGGACGCATAGGATACGGCACGGTACGACGCGACGCGACTGCGACGCAGCGCGGGGAACGAGATTACGAGACGAGAGTGACGAGACACGGGACGGGTGCCGCCGGCGTGGGACACGTAATCCGGATCATCGACGCGGCCGAATGGCCGAATGCACCTAGGGCTTCAACCGGGAGCCGATCGTTCGACCTGGCGAGACTAGCCGGACTAGCGGCGCCCGCCGTTCCCGTCGCCTCGTATCGACTCGCTCAGCCAACGACTGCGTGCGCCCTGAGAGAAACTAAACCCGTCACTCGTGCGACGTACACCGACGCGAAAAGCTCGTTGAAAAGGTTGAAAATTATCTTTGTTCGGCGGCTCGCGTGGCGCGTGCCAGGCCGGGCCGGCAAAGAGCGTCGCCGTCGCCTTCAATCCGACGCCATGCGAGAAGACCGAGGCAGAACGAGAGCGAGAGAAAGAGGGGAAAAAGAGGGAGATCGAGCGAACGTGGCAGTTGGAATTTTTCCGACAATGACGGAGTCTCTGTCTCTCTTTACAATATATCCGCGCGTCTTTCCTTTCTTTTCTCTTTCTACAAACACGTTTGATCCTTCCGTTTTTCGTCACGGTCCTCGAGATTCAGCTCGTAAGATCGCGTATGTCCGCGTCGCGGCTAACATCAGAGTCGGGAGGACACGCCGGCATGTCCGGTATGATGGCGCACGGAATAGCTCTCCGCTCTCCGCTCTCCGCTCTCCGTCGCCGAGAGCGTCCTCCTCCTCCTCCTCATCACCGTCGTCGTCGTCGTCATCGTTATCGTTGCCGTCGTCAACGTTCCCGTCGTCGCTAGCGACCGTCGCTCGGTCGCTCTGTTCTTCGATCGGGGGCGCGGGGCGCGGTCGTGTAACGCGCGGGGGAGGGCAACGAGAATTATTCCTAACAATTTACCTAAAATGCACACTATTCAGTCATCAGGGGGGAAGGACGGGCGGCCTCCTCATCGATGCAGATGCACACTGCACTCGGCACGCGGAAGCGCGGGGGAGAGGGGTGCGGCGAAGAGAGGAAGAGAAAAAACACTACACTACGCGGCACTGCGAAACTGGCACCACCTCGGCGGAACGCGGTCTTCGTTCTTTCTGCCTCCGGCCAGCCTACCGCTCGCTTCCGACGATGCGCAGCGCTACCGTGCGTCGCGTCGCGCGTCTCTCGCGTCTACGCCGTGCGCGCCGGTGGCGCCGCCGCACCGCGCGCGCGCGCGCTCTCGGCAACCCTTGCGCACGCCGGCTGCGCCGGCAACCCGAGCGGCGGGACGTTCGAACGTTCGAACGACGCGTGTTACGGTTTCGAGCGTTTCGAGCGTTTCGAGTTTCGATTCGCGGGAACGAGGACCGAGGACGTTCGACGGTGATAGAAATATCGCGCGCTCTTCCCCTTGTAGACTATTTCGAGTGTACGTTGAAAGGGAACACGCGTGTTTGTGAGATTGAGAAACAAATATGATTTGTCTTGGACGATCTCCGAGGAGAACATATACGTCTGTCCTTCTGAACTTGTTTTTGAACGTGTGATATTTAAGTACTAGTAGGGGGGATTTAAGTGTACGTAAGATCAAATAGTCATCAGAATATGTCACTGCCTTTTATATGTATAAGATCAACTCTCTTAATGGGGATATCTGAATTAACATTTTTAAGATCGATACTATTATTAAAATGTTAAAAAGGGACACGCGCGTATTCGTTTATAGCGTATTGTAAAAGGATACAAAAGAACTATTAAAATCTTATTTCCAACTTTTTACAAGCGTTCGAATGTTTTAAAAAGACTTCTTCCACAGGTCTTCCCGCAAAATTACGTTGCATGTAGTTAAAAAGTTTGAGAGATAATAGAAGCAATGGCATACCGTATTCCGTTATTAAAAGCGTAAAAATATGTTTACACGTAATATTTTAACACAAACTCTACCTTGTTCCATACTAAAATCTACGTATCGCATTCGTGTCCGGCGTTTCACGTAACATCTAATAATGGATTATCTCGCGTGCTCCAAACACGTCGGTCAAACGCATTGTGCGCCGCTAATTGTTTCGTATGCCCACGCCACGTTGCCCGCGAATGGATCTAACTGACGTCCAACGAAAACTCGCGTACCACGTTTTCCAACTCGTTCTCTCTGGTAATTCAACTTTCCTCCGGACTTGAAGGACGGTCGGTTAAATAGGTCGTTCGCCGAAGGCGTAAAAGTGAATGTTATCGAATCAAACTTAATAATGAAAGGGAGAATAAATCAGAGAACGACACATCAACCGAAACAGTGCGTATAATCTCGGTACGAGTGAACAGATTCTTTTCTTTTTATTTTTTATTGTTGGCAAACCGTGTCAAGTGTTTTCCATGAAGATAAACACGCGGTAATGTTTCCAAAATACAAAAACAAAATTCTTCCTACATTGGCCACGAGCATTATTATAGACAAAGCTGTTTGAAGCGAAACAAAAACGATTCTGGTTTAAATAAATTGTTCCGTTTGAAGCACGGGCAATAACGATGAAAAAAAAAGAAAGATTTTTATTTTAGGTAAAAACGTTTTTTGCTTTTATTTCGGACGAATCGTTTGCACCCCTGCTGCAAGTGAAATGTTTTCGTTACAAGCGAAATCGCTTTTGTGCCTGTGCTCCGCACAAAGCGATTTTACTTAAAACCAAAACCTGATTTTTCTGATTTAGCTTGTTTCGCGCTTAAAGTTTATCGCGCTTAAAAAAGCAGACGTGCGAGTTCTCGGCGCGTCTCGTCCATAAACATGCATGTCGAGACATCAGGGAAGATGGGGCGCGCGTTTCCATCGCTAATCTAGTTTTGATAACTGAAATTTGCATCGTTTATCTAAGAAGAAAATCTTCCTTTTCATGGGAAACCAGAGACAAGCGTACGGCTTCTCTTACTGTAACGCTGCCGAACACAGCCATTATGATCACAATGGTATGCCACGCCGGGTACTGATGCAACCAGAAATTTAATTATCATTTTAGACGGCGCGGGAAGCAATTATCGGAAATTTAGTTTGCGATCGCGAATAGAATCTTGCTAGAGAACGGCAGTAACCACTATTACTTCAATGTCACTATGAAAGAGCGAGCTCATTAGAATCCCTTTTGCTTCGGTGAACATGCACTCTTTCTATTTCTCCAACGCGAGTCAAATAAAATTCACATAAATGTATGAAAGTTATCTTAAAAACGCCGCGTAATTTTACAGCATTTTACGTGAATTAAAAAGACTTGTCGAAAAAATCGTGATTTATTGCAACAATCTTTAGCATTAAACATCTGTAGCTTGTTATTAATAACTGTATTAATAATTAAGCGATTCAATTGAAAGTCTGATAAAATAATATTTAAAATTAAATAAAGTTTAAATGTAACGCCGAGCGCGCGCGTGCGTGCGTGCGTGCGTGCGTGCGTGCGTGTATTTGCGCATTTAAATTTATTCGCCAAATGGTACGTAGGATGAGAAATGTAAATAGACATGCTATTGTTTGGCTGTCAACGAATTAGATTGCAAATTTTTTTAATTAAATTTTTTAACAAATTGTGTAACGAATATCGATCAATTATTTTTAATAGGTACAGATTGCTGTTTTTTTTTCTATTTTTTAATTTAAAAAAATGTGCTTTTTTAAAGTAAAATTTAAAATTTTCCATTTGACGCCGCTGAGGAGGGGGGACGTTTGTACACATATATTAAGAGGCGTTATGTGAAACGTTTGCTTTATTGACAAATTTTGAATAAATACGCGCGTTTCTATATTCCCCTCAAATTCCGCACAGAAGTATATATCATAAAAAAACAGCATTCTGTTTTTACTTGATATGAGCGATCAATATTGCACGCTTAATCGAGAACATCCCGTGTGCAAATATTAATATAGATATATAAATCAATGCACGCGCGCGCACGCTATAACAGATGTGTACGAGTGGCGAGTAAAGTAGTATTCAGAACGGTAGAAAGAATTGCTATTGTTAACAATCTGGGGGCCAATTATGGCGTAATCTCGAGTTCTTTGAGTGCGCCGATTCGCACAAAAAGAAAAAAGCTGATAAATCGAAGCAACCGTCTGCATACTTGAACGAAACAGAGAAGAAATAATTACCGAGGCAAGATTGACTACAGTGCACGATTTCGTTTTGTTAATTGGCCAAAGTTAAGGGCATGGCGACGCACTAATGAAGACCCCCATAAGAACATCGTTTGCATCGACAAAGCTCTCTTCGCAAATGTTTACATAATCGGCGGAATAGGGCCACGTAAGCGCCGGCATGAATAATTTATTTTATTACCGGAGGGCGATTCAAAGTAATGCTCGTAAATGTAAGTGCTTCATAAAAGCGAAGAAGCAACCCAAGTAACGTCGATGCAGGCGAGATTGATCATGAAAACTGAATCGTTAGATTTGCTCTATATTGGATTGTGCCGTCCCAAATCGGTCTTCATTTCAGGTCGATTCGAAGGAGCGGACCAGATCGAGCATTGCAGGAAGGAAGGAAACTGTAAAACGGTTCTTATTTTATTCGAAACCTTTCCTGAAACTGAATGTTAATCCAAGCTATTTCAAGCCTGCTATAAAATTCTGAATCAGTCATATCATCGATTATCGAGATTAGATTCTTTTCTTGATTCTATGCTTCGAATATAATTTAGTTTAATTAAGTATGATACATGAAAATGCAGAAATGCTTCAGTAACAATTTATGTATTATCTTCCTTTTCTACATCATTTCCTCTCTCTCTCTCTCTCTTTCTCTCCCCTTCCGTGCTCTCACAGTCCCTGCTCCATTACGCAATTAAGCTCCTTAGAGGATTACGGAATAGGATAGGTGACTTGAAGAAACTGGCCAACGTTATAGTGGACACCGTGTTTCTGTCAGGAAAGGTCTTCGTGGAGATGATCAAATGCCTAATATAGTTTTCTACAATCGAGCGAGAGTGTATCGCGCGAGCAACGTCATTGGGTTTCGGGTTTCACTCAAAGAGATTGCGCCGTGCTTCAAGTGCCCATCTAACTAGCATCTCACAGGGAATTTATTTAAAATGAAAACTAAGTTCGAATCGGCACTGCACTGAAAGAAGATTAATCTCATCAGCTAAAATTTGGTACAAATTTCACGCGTTAGTATTCAGGACGAAATTATTATCTCCCACGCTTTGTTCGGCCCATTTCCCTGTCAATAATCTATGTCACTCACAGTAGATCGGGGAATTTTTAACGGAATTTCTCGTAGAAGAAGGTGATCGTCGATGCTTGTAAAGTCTCTTGCAAAATATCTCCTGTAATTTGCCTTGCAAAATATTTATACTGAGGATTAGGTGTCAGTGGCAAGCGTTGCAAGAGTTATGAGCGAGATCACGATGCGACGTTAGAGAGTGCGAACGACGCCTTCGGCCTCAGACGAGGCTGAAAGAGACTTTAGGGTTGACAGAAATGAGGCACCGCTCGGTGTCGCGATAAGATCTCGACGTGAACGTGGTACGAGGGTAATTCCCCTTCCGTAAAAATGGAGAAACGCGGTGTCGGGATAAGCTGCACGGTTATTGGAGTTCTTTACGCACGGTTGTTGAAACTAGTATAGATACGACTAGATTGTACCTTAGCAGCGAACAAATTTTCGTTTGTTCCTTTAATCTCTTCTTTTTTACACCCTTGTAAATATATTCCGTAATTTCTTTGTGGCGTAAACTGGAATTAAAAGTAAAACTTTGTGTTTTTTGTTGCTGAAATGCCAAACCCGAGTGGCGGATCTGCATTCGGCAATTAAATCTTTAACAGTGCCAAGAATAGTCTAAATTAAAATTTTTTGTTGCTTGATACAACGATAAATTAAATAATCGATCGTAAAATCCTATAAGGAAAATATTTATTGAGAAATAGAGATATTTTCAGAAATTAATTCGCGGTAGAGCGAAGGATGTCCTCAAGGCTCACTTCTCGATACGCATGAGATGTCTCAAAGAGACATAGCGAAAACGACAGTTATTGTTTTGTTTCCATTCGTGCGATTAATTACAGTGCACAGTGGTGCGGTGATATCGCTGGGACGCACGCAGAGGAAAGAGAGACGACAGCTATGAGGTCTCTTTCATTCCGGACCTATTGTTCTTTGGTCTCCAGCTCTTTCGTCTTT